ATAAATCTGCCGTTCTATTTTCTCGTTTTGTTCCTTGAAAAAATTCAAATGAGAGAAAAGATCTTTAAAAAATGGCTTTTGCTTCAACCATTCCTTCAGGGAGTTGACAAGCTGTAAAAATGCTTTTGAAACAAGATGGCCACCGCGGTGCGTTTACGTCACCCTGAACTACAAAAACTCCAGGATGAAATGTCCAGATTTTAAAAATTTAATCTTCAAAAACTGGAAATTTCATTCATAATAAATTTTATTTACCTATCAATTTTATTATTAAAAACCATAAAAATATTATTTAATTAATAAATAATAAAATAACATATTTTTTCTATTTTATAATATTTTTTCTATTTTATTTTCATTTTTATGTTTTTATTTTTTTTTAGGAAAAACAGCTGTTCTCCAGTAGCAGTCAGTCTTGCAACAAATCTCAGGAGGCCTCTGACTGAAGACTGTACGACTGTCTTGACATGCTAGCAGCTTAACATGTGGCAGCAAGCGCTGCTAATCCTCCTCCTTTGCTTTTTAATTCTCTATCTGGTCGTCTGGTCAGAGTGATGCTGGAGTCGGGAAGAGACGGTTTGCACTTCCTCCTTCCCTCTCTGCTCCTTTTCAACGTCTCTGGGATTTTAAGTTGTACTTCAAGTATGATTTGAAGTTTTGAGATACTAATCAGCTCCTTCCAGTTGTAAAAAAGTAAAAGCTAAATTTCTTCCGGCTGCACAGCGTCTGAAACCAGAGGGAATATTTATCTAAACATCCAAAGATTCAACAAAACTCTTCAAACACAACAAATGATTGGAGTATTTTCTGTAGCAGCTGAGCTGCTGCTGTCTAACCAACTGGGCCAACTGGGCCGCAGGAATCCGTTGAACTGGTGGAGCCCGTAAAAGCTGCGCAGGGTGCAGATCAACGGCATCTGAAGTATTACAATCCACACATTCCTGTGTGGTTCTAATATTATCCACCCTGAACCAAAGACAAATACAGATCGCTGCTTTTCAGAGTCAGTCTGATGGCTTTAATCATTCAAAATGATTAACGATCAGATCGCTGCTCTGGATTTCTGTTAGGAATCAAAACTGATAACTCAGAACGTAAACATGAGTGCTGGTTCCTGCAGACCAGCACTCAGATCTGCTCAGCTCAGTCTGACTAAAGTTCCCACGTTTTCACAGAAACCTGCAGGGAAACTCACTGAACGTCTTCCTGACTGCAGGAAAACAGAGGAATTCTGGGAGTTTTTCATACAGGTGAGTCAACCAAGTCGAGAATCCGAGCTTTATGTGATCAGAGGCAGTTTAAGAAGTGAAAGGTTTTGCATCACCTCTGCTCCTGATTTAAATGATGTTTGGGAATAATTGGATTTGTAACTGTTGGCCTTTTAGAAACCAAAAACTATTATTGGTTAATAACAACCAATAATAATAACGTGATAAGGACTTTATCACAATATTTTGTATTAGTATTCTGATAGCAAAAGTGAAGCGGAGACTAATTTACTAACTTTTTTAGCTCGTGTATCGTTGTGACTGTGTGTCAGTAATTATAGTACCACTAACACACACGCTGCTGTTGAAACATTCCTATTTGTAACACTTCTTTAGCTAATGGACAATCCTGAAATCATTTTTGGTGCATTGCTACTTCTTTTCTTGGTTTTGTTAAACTATAAAAGCTTTAAAATAGCTCTAGTTAGCTTTTTTATTTAGTAGTAATTATAGTGCCAAGCACTGATCTTTGTTTTCTTGACATTTAGTCATAAAAATATAAAATATGCCATTTAACTGAGCTTAAAATCACAATATCTGCTTGTTGAACTCAAATATATTTTTTCCAGTTAATTTTATGAAGAAACATAAACAGCAACCCTGTTTACATCAGGAGCAACCGGCAGGCCGCCCAGACAGTTTTCAAATAAAACCATTTATTATTTATTTAAAAAGTCACGGCCTTCTGGTTAATCCTCTGAAACGCTGCCCTGTATTAAAACAGCTTGATCCCATTTGGTGACCCATTGCTCAGTCTCCTCAGCGCTCAGCAGCAGAAAACACCTGAGCGTCTGGACCGAGCTGGTTCTGGACGTCCACTCCCAAAAATGTGTGTCAAACTTACATGATAAATAATTCAGCATTCATCCCAGAGTTTCCAACAAACATATTGGAAAGATTGTTTTAGCTGCAGATTTAGCTGCAGTTTGCTGTCAGGAATGTTTCTCCAAAATAAAAGACTTTCAGATTTCATGTGAATCAAATATATGATTCTCATTATATAAGCCGGTCAGGAAGAAACACTGAGCTCAGATGTGGGTTAAACTCCCAATCAGGGAGCAGGCTGCTCCTCACCCTGCTCCTCATCCTGCTCCTCATCCTGCTCCTCATCCTGCTCCTCATCCTGCTCCTCACCCTGCTCCTCATCCTGCTCCTCACCCTGCGCTTCGCAGGCCCAGAAAAACACGCAGAAAGAGGAAGGGGCGCCGGAGCCGCGGAGCCTCCGTGCGCTGCCGTGTCACGCAGCACAAAGCTATTATTACACACGCACACACACACACGCAAGCACACACACACACACACACACACACACACACGCACGCACGCACGCACACACACACACACACACAGTCAGGTAGGCCAGGCTGCTTGTGTTAACATCTCAAGGTCACAGCACGGCTCTGTTTCTGGATCGGAACCGGCAGAACAACGCGGTGTTCCGCGGCCGAGACAAAGAGCCAGGGCCGAACCCCGCAGCCGGACCTCGCAGCCCGCTCTGCCCTCACGGGGCTGCCCAGGCCGGTTCCTCCGGCTGACAAACATCTGGATGGGAGGAGGAAGAGGAAGAGGAGGAGGAGGAGGAGGCCGCAGGAATGAACGCGGATTCCGTTAGTAGCGAACAACCGGTGAGGATGGAGATGAGATAAGGTGATGAGGAGGAGAGGAGGAAGGAGGGGGAGGCTTGCGCTCGTTTCCTCCCCCATTTCTAATTAATTCCTTACCCTCTGACAGCTCCAGCTCCAGCTCCGCCAGCCGGGCTCGGATCTCCAACGGTATCGGCGACGCCTCGCGATCCGCCATTCGGCTGGTACCGAAGCAAGCAGCTCTCCGGCGGGAACAGCTCCCTGCTCAGCCGCTCCTCCTGGCTCGCTGGGAGGCGGTGGGGGGAGCGCTTCTCCTTCTCCTCGGCGGCCCCTCCTCAGCGGAGGCGCGTAGAGACAGCGAGGCGTCGGGGTGGAACAAAGAGGATAAATCTGGGTCCGGTTTTAACGGGGCCCGCCATGTTGGCCGCTTCCTTGGCTCGGTGAAGACCCCCGGTGGTTCGCTCGGTTCTCCTCTCTGCCGCTGCAGAGGTTCTGTTGGCGGGTGTGATGAGGATGATGAGGCTCGCGCAGCACCGCACTCACAGCCGTTTGAAGCTTGCTGCTGTCACGTGACTGTACGGAGTAAAAAAGAGAGAGGTGGTGACACTCATCACCTGTAGGGGGCGCAGCGAGCACCAGAGAGCTTCAGCTGACTGAACTATTTTTCATCCAATAAATGGAATTAAATTAAGTTGTAATTAACTAAAAACTGTTTTCATGAATAAACTGTTAAATTATCTTGTTTTACAAAAATAAAATATATCTAAAATATATCACTGTAACAATAGTGTCATTTTATGTTTAACAAAATGTTTAATTTTAAATTAAACCAACTGTTTTTAATAAATTAAATAGTTACTGTCTTGCTTGTTTAATGACTTAAAAAAACATAATAAACATGTTTATTATGTTTGTGGAAAAATAAATTAATAATACAATAAAATAAGCAGTTTAAATATTTTATTAGTTATTAATTTGATCTTATCCTTGCATTAAAATGTATTTTAACATAAAACAAAACAAGATATATTTAAAAACAAAATGCTCCACTGTGTAATAAAGTTTGTATCAGGTTTAGACTCTTGAAATTCAACTGTTAATATTCTTACTTGAAAATAATTTCAGTATTGATTTATTTCATTTAAAAATAATTGTGTTGGACTGACTTGAGGAATTTTGTTTCTTCCTCATGTCTCCTTCCAAAAATTTTATTTCATGTCAATATTGCATTAAAACTATATAAATTGAGCCCTTTCAAATGAAATTAAAATGAAAAGAGAGCATGCATGATTGGATGCACTTTATTTCACTTTCATATCTTTATGATTTTGCCCTGCTATGTCTTCATTGTGCATCTAAGACCTTTTGTAATATTCCTATTTGCAGGTGACCCTTTCTGCAGCACAGTCTCAGTAACAAAATACCAGCACATGTGAGTCATCAGCCAAACTCAAACCTGTTTAACAATTCATTTCCTTGAATTTATTTGATCATTTGAACCACATTTGTCAGGTGAGAAGTTTATTACAGATCCCATGAAGAAAAAAAGGCAAAGTTTCTATTTCTGTCCCCTTTATGTCAGTTTCTGCCCTGTGATGACCTGCAGCTGAAGGGGAAATGAATTAAAAAGTGTTGGGTCTGAGTGCAGCCTGTGACCCGTTTTCATTCCAGGAGAGCAATGAGTCCTGCCAGGAAAAACAGCAGCTTCCTGCATTTTAAAACTTTTACTGCTTTGCTGTGAAGCAGGAGAAATGTGGGAGCCTGGCTTTGACACCTGCGACTCAGTGTGCTGGTCTCCTCTGAATGGACCTCAGGCCTGAAGGATCAATGACAGGATTTATTACTAAACCAGAACCTGTTCAGACCAAATTGGGTACTTCTGGTGTGGTTCTGGTGAAACTGGTGATTTCTGGCAGATCCAGAAATGATCAGTTTAATCTGAGTAAAGTGTGATGAATTGGGCCCAGGACGGATCATTTCATTAGTATGCTGCATGCTATTCATTAGGCCGCTGATGAAACAAATGCTGAGCCAAACAAAGTAATTAGAGTTGTGATGTGGCTCTACTGCCATCTGCTGGTTAGGAGAAGGAAATACATCTGCAAGAGGCTGAACGACTCAGAGCTTCATACAATAAAATCTAAACATGTTCCTTGTAAAGGCACTTCTTTAATATATTTCTGTTCAGCATTCTGTACATTTGTACACAGCAACATATGTCACAGTGGTGCCAGCTTTACATTCAAACTTCACATCAGAAAACAACATTTGTCTCTTTACAATCAAAAGAAAAAACATTTCTTCAAGTTGAATCAGTTTGTTCTTGGACGCTCAGCGGTCAAAACTCAGCAAGTTAAATAAGTCAACAACTAAAACAGGCCAGTTTAACACAAATAAAACTGAATCCATGTTTAAAATTAAATAAAACAGTCAGAGCAACAATAAAGAGTTGGTATTCAGTACTTTCAAACATACAGGAAGGCTTACAGATCTGGTTATTAATTGTTGGGCTTGTAAACACAGGAAGGATCCACTTCAGACTTAAAAATTCAGAATAAAAAACAGAATCCTGACAGAACTTCCTGTCCAGAGCCGACGGCCAAATACAATAAACCTGAAAATAATGCCTGGCTCTCATTCCTCTGAGCCCAACAAGACAAGAAACAAAACTAAAGAATTACAAAACATTTACAGATTATTAACAGTTCCCTGCCAAAAAATGAAAGTGTTAAAAATTTCTCTTCAGCATCAGCAGTTTTTATAGTTCTAAGATTAAAAATCCTGAGCTTGTAAAGGCTGGTACTTTACTTACTGATCAATCTTTATAATAAATATACAGCCAGCTATACAACTACACATTCCCATCGGACCGGTTTTGTCTCACAGCGGCAGCAGAGGCTGTTGGGATGCCTGGTACTCCACGGAGGGGGCGGGGTCAGCCAGCGGCGCCGACGCCTCGTTGGACGAAGCCTTCTGGCAGATCTCAGCGTAGCTCAGCTTCTTCAGCTCCTGAAGGACGTGAAGAACAGAACCGGGCGTCAGGAGGCGGAAACACCGACATGCTTCAATTATTCATCTTTACAAACACCAAACACTGTTTGTTTTTAAACCAACAAATGAATTCACTTCGAATACAGCTGGGTTTTCCCACAACGTTTTCATAAAGCGGACTGTGATGCGATTAATGACATCACACAATGGACCCGATAAGCTGCATTAAAACCCGCAGACAAAAGAAAACGGATAAAACTATTTTAGTAACTGATTATTTTAACAAAAGAAATTGGCATATTCTGATAATTTTTCATATACGTCTTTTATGCAATATTAGAAATACATTAAAAAGTGAAAATCAACAGTGTTCAATTACTTTTAAAGAAAGAAGTTTATTGCCTAAAATGCAGTGTCATCGTTCCTTCAGTGAACGCTTGTAGAAAACGATAAATCTGCAGATAAAATCCTCCCAACATCAACAACAAATTTACAGAAAAAGGTTTTCATCTTGAATCCCTGATTAGTTTAATCTCTTTAAAAGAGATTCAGTGTATATTGGTGAACAAAGCAACTATTTGAGATGGTTTGTCCCGGGACAGTTTTAAATAAAAGGTTGAAATGTTTCATGTTGAAGAGACTAATCAGGGAGCAACAGCCTGCTGTTGCCAGGCTCTGTGTTGTTAAAATTGGAAACATTTTGTTCTTTTCTCCCGTTGAACTGAACCCAGAGACCAGCACCATGTAATGACCCACATTTCCCCTCTGGCTGATCCGGGTGATAAACCGAGTCCTGAATGTGTCTTACTGCTGCTGGTTCCAGTGGCAGCTGGACAGGTTTGTCCTCCACCGTCGTCTCTCCGCTGTCCCCGTCTTTCCTGTGCACAACAACACAGCTGCATGTGAAGCCTCCGCTCTGGTCGCAGAGCCGCAGCAGCTGGATACTCACAGCAGAGACGCCGGCTGAGGCTCCACTGGAGGAAGTGATGATGAGGAGGATGAGGACGAGGAGTTTGAGCTGCTGCTTTTTGTGGGACTCTGAGGATTCAGACACACAGGTCAGACTGGAACTGATTCAGGTGTGGGTGTGTGTGAGAGTGTGTTACCTTGACGCTGTCGTTAGCTGCAGGTGTCGTCGCCGTGGCAACATTTGCAGTAGACAGGGGGGGGAAGCTGGACAGGCTGAGCTCCAGAGGAGGAGGAGGAGGCTGATGAAGAGGAGACAGAATGGGAGTGGTTCACTTTCCACAGTCTGACCTCTGCTGTGTTTTCTTACCTCAGCGTTCAGTTTGGGTCTCTCCAAGGATTTCTCGGTCTCTCTCCTCTTCTGGCTGAAGGTTCCCCTCCTGCTGTAACTGAGACAGGAAAACAAAACCTGTTTTATGCTCATGTTGCAGAGCGTAAACCTAAACTCAACTTTTCCATGTTTTATTGCTTACTAACGTCAAACTTCAGTGTTTTGGGGGTTTTATGAAAGACAAAGAAAAAGTATGGATTAACTGTGAAGTGGAAGAAAATATTTTGCATAGGTCTTCCAACAAAAACAACAAAAAAGAAAATCTGAAAAATGCAGAGTGCATTTGTATTCAGCCGATCTGAGTCAAAACGTTGTCTACTAAGGTTTGGTTAGTATTTACCAAAGCGAACAGGAAGGCCTGCTGAGCATGAATACAGCAGCTGTGCTTCTGCAACAGGAACAGATACATTACCTTCCCCGGTCAGAGGGGGGCACCAGAACCTGTTTGTTGGATTCTGTTCTTCCGCCCCGGCTCTGCCGGCGCAGGCCGCCCCTCAGCCGGCCCCGCCGGGCCCTCAGGGAGGGAGAGGAGTATTGGTCTGCAGACGGCTGCTCCGACGGCTGGTAGAGGTCCGAGTGGTGGGTCTGCCAGCGGTCGCCACAGCTCAGCATCCTGGAGCCCCTCCTGCAGGTACAGACCATAATCAGCCCCAACCCGGTCCAAACAGGTCGGGACCGGCTCAGACCCGGTCCAACAGGTTGGGACCGGCTCAGACCCTGTCCAAACAGGTCGGGACTGGCTCAGACCCGGTCCAACAGGTCGGGACCGGCTCAGACCCGGTCCAACAGGTCGGGACTGGCTCAGACCCGGTCCAACAGGTCGGGACCGGCTCAGACCCGGTCCAACAGGACGGGACCAGCTCAGACCCGGTCCAAACACGACGGGACCGGGTTTGGACTGGCTCAGACACGGTCCAAACAGGACGAGACCGGCTCAGACCCGGTCCAAACAGGTCGGGACCGGCTCAGACCCGGTCCAAACAGGTCGGACCGGTTTGGACTGGCTCAGACACGGTCCAAACAGGACGGACCGGGTTTGGACCGGCTCAGACACGGTCCAAACAGGACGGGGCCGGCTCAGACCCGGTCCAAACAGGACGGGGCCGGCTCAGACCCGGTCCAAACAGGTCGGGACCGGCTCAGACACGGTCCAAACAGGACGGGGCCGGCTCAGACCCGGTCCAAACAGGTCGGGACCGGCTCAGACACGGTCCAAACAGGACGGACCGGGTTTGGACCGGCTCAGACACGGTCCAAACAGGACGGGGCCGGCTCAGACCCGGTCCAAACAGGACGGACCGGGTTTGGACCGGCTCAGACACGGTCCAAACAGGACGGGACCGGCTCAGACACGGTCCAAACAGGATTATGTTACCTTCAGTTGTCATAATCCTTTATATATGAAATATCACTTAAAAGAAATTTAACATTGTAATTTAAGGCCATAAAATTGGGCTTCTGTCTCTTTAAGAATCTCATATTATTTCTGAAGCTCTGCCTACAGGAAGAACATGGAACATGGCTCCTCTATTAACCCTTTAACAGCTTTTTTACCAGCATTGCTCCGAATAGCTCCTACAATGAGCTTAGCAGCTCCAACAGGTGTTTGCTAATTGCTGCAGGCTAGTCTGAAGGAGCTGAGAGGGAGAGAGCTGTTCTGTGAGGTTCGCCTCGAAGGAGGAGCTAGGTCCAGCTGTAAAATGGTTGCCATGGGGAATAAAGGATTTCTCAAACATGAATGAGTGAATTGAGGCTTTTGCTCTTGAAGGAGACAGTGACATTATAAGATGATGTAGAGCTGATAAAAGTGGATTAGTTTGACACTGGCCCTTTAAGACCGGCAGCAGCAGGGTGGTGGTCGTACCTCTGTCTGTGAGCTGCGTGCGGCTTGAAGGAAGAAGCTGCTGGAAACTCGTTCATCAGGTTGTTCATCAGCAGCTCAGGCTGCAGAGAGAATCAGAGTTAATGACTGAGTGGAACCACAAAAGGAACCAGGTCCGGGTCAGGAAACCCTGTTCTGCTCTCACCTCCACGTTCTCCTGGTACTGGGCCGCGGTGGCGGGCCATGCCTCGTTGTTCTGGTCAAACATCTGCTGAGGGAGGCACGACGGGTTGAACGTGGTGGGGGGGAAGTAGGAGCTGTAGCGGCTGCTGCACTGGTCCAACTGGACGGGCCTGTAGCCGTTCTTGGGGGCGAAGGAGGCGATGGCCATAGTCTTAGCTTTGATCCGGGCCATGATGGGCTTCCCCTTAAACACCCGGACCTCCTCTCTCAGGTACCTGTAGGCCTGAAGGACCGGCCATGTTACTCTGTCGCATCCCACTCACTGATAGGATTACGATCTGACAGAAATACAGCCAAGCTGCTGGGAGCAGACGGTCTGCTGGAGGCTGCAGAGGACCTGAGACTGGGGTCAAAGTTCACCTTCCAGCAGGGTGACCTCTGTGAACATGGAGTATGGTTCTGGTTCTGGTGTGTTGTACGAACAGCTCTGATTATGACTAAATCACTACAGCAGAGACCTGATGATGAACACCAGATCTGGACGACTGGAGCGCCGATCAAAGCAGACTCATGTCAGAATGGCCCAGTCAAAGCCCAGGTTTAAATAAGAGTGATAATGTTGGATCAGTTTAACTGATTTTTAAAAGAAAAACCGAACAGAGAAGCAAACAGCAAAACCTTTGGTAATTCTTCCCGGAGTGGTTTCTTTTGTTTGCTGTAAATGTCCAGGCTGTAGCGTCAGCAGCTCAGACGTCTGAATGGATAACAACAACTTCAAGTTCATAACAGGAAGATAACTGAATGTCTTCAATATTACTTGATAGCTGGATCGGTGACCAGCTCTCCAGCAGCTTTGTGGTTTGAAACTCAAGTAAGACTTCGACAGGAGCTGTTGTACCTGCTGAGCGTCAGCCTCTGACTGAAAAGTGAGGAACCAGTTGTCGTTGTTGACGACCTCACAGCTCAGGACTTTGGGCAGGTTCTCTCCTTCGAACAGAGCCTCCACCTCCTGCAGGGAATACAGAGTGGTAAAGCCTGCAGAGAGCAGCAGGCGGATCGGTGGAGCAGCGGGACTCACCTCTGCAGGCGTGGTGTCAGGAATCTCTCGCAATATCACAACGCAGCGGTTCTGTCTGGGGCGGACCTTCTGCCCGCATGGGGCCACCTGGACCAGAGGCATGGCTGCCGACCAGAGAGCAGGATGTTAGAGCTTATTCTGGTGATTAAAGTTTTTTAGAGTGAAATATTGATATATTAGTGGGAGCCAAAACAAGGAGCCACATTTGAGAATGTCTGAGATGAGCTCCAGGTCTGTGGTGAGGTTCTTGATGCCGTCCAGACTGGCCAGCGTGGCGATAGAGACGTACTGGTCGTTGTCCATCTGGGACTTCAGGTACAGGTCGCTGCTCAGATAATCCCTGAGAAGGAGAGCAGGAGAAGCTGACGGAGAGATTAGATCCAGAAAACAGCAAAACACACATTTCTCTGTGCTCAGAGACACATGGAGAGCAAACACGGTGGGTAAAGGAGCTTTCTGCTGCGCCGGCCGCTCTGGTTCCATATGTTACCTGGTCAGGCAGGACTCCAGAGCTCTGCTCAGTTCCTCTCGGATCTCATCTGGAAACAGAACAGATGTTTTCAGTCCAACAATGTGAGAAGTGTTGCTGCTGGAGAGCGTGTGAATCCAGCTCCTACCTGTAACCGGAGGATCAGAGGTCTCTCCGTTCACCGCCAGAGCTTCAGGCGTTTGAGTCAGATACTCGGCCTCCGCCAGGCCCACGTTCCCTTCAAACTCCGACACAAACCCTGATGGGATGGCAACAGGGGAAGGTGAGGTAAAGAGGATGGCGTGATGCGGTGAGGCGTCGGACCCTGGGCTCACCTTCCTGGTGGTTCAGGTTGTCGGGGAGCTGCAGCCACGGCTGCTGCAGCTGCTGGTAGTCTGGGTCGGGGATGTGGAAGCTCAGGTTGGGGTCGTTCCATACTTCAGCTTCAGGGTTGAGACACGGAGCAGCAGCAGCTTCCTGAAACAAACAACATTCAACTCAGAATGTTCAGAGTTGCTGGTGATGTGAGCAGACAGGAAACAAATCCATATCCTGATGAATGTCCTGAGTTCAGTTTAGACTCTGGTTCAGCATATTGAGCCACTTCTCAGATTAACAACAGCTTAACTAGTTCATCAAACCCTTAACTAGTTCTCAGTTCACTCAGGTTAAAACAGAATCTGTTCATGTTCAGACTTCAGTAGGTAAATGAGTCAACAGGTTTATTTCTTGTTTTTTCCAGGTTGAGTGGTTGGAGCAACTTTAGTAGTCAGAACTTTGACAGCATCACAAACCAGAAACTGATAAGGATTCCCAGTTCCAGACTGGGAACCAGAGGCAGAAACCAGTGTGCTGATCAGCAGTGTTTCAGCTGCTATTAACTCTCTGGTTCAATGGTTTTATCTTGTGATTTTAGTTATTTTATATTTTATTGTTTCTACATGATTACATAAGAAGTTTTGATCAACAGAAATTTGCTTTTAAATGTGATGGATAAATAAACCTGATTGATTGTCACATTTAAACTCTGCTATAATTTAGTTAAATTCTAATTAAAACTGAAATTTGACCAAAGAATGTTTCACTTTATAGAATGAAATAAATGGAAACCCCTAAAAAAAAATAAAAAAATCAGCAAAATTATTACATTCAGACAAAATTACTACATTTTGTCTGAATTCAGAAAATGTAACCATCGTTGATGTGGGACTTGCAGTTGTCTGGCAAATTGTCCCAAAGCGCTGAAGCGTCAGGAGAACCGTAGATCAGCAAAGTGCAGCTGTATTCTGACATGTTTTCATAACGTCATATCATCTTCTAAATGATGTGACAGAGAGACGAGAGCCTGGTCTGGTTTTCTCCTCAGACCTTCCTCACCTTCACGATTCAATCATTTTTTTTCTTACCAATTAATATTTTGCTCTGAATCTTCTCTGCTCCAGACTTCCAAATCTGTTTTTCAATAAAACGCCTCAGATTGAAAAGTTGCTAAATCATAACTTGTACATCACAGCTCCAGACAGATTATGATGCACACATGAAACACAGCATGGCTGCTCACTGATCCTTCTCAGAGCTCAGTTCAGGTTCAGAGTATAGAAAACATCGCTGTTAGGGTCAAAGGTCAGCACAATCACCTGAATGTAATGAAAACCATGACTCCAAGTTAACTCCAGCCTGGATTATCAATAAAACCTAAAATCTTCAAACTGTGTGTCAAACCTAGAACATCCCAGATGTTTTCCTCCCAGTGTGTGTGTGTGTGTGTGTGTGTGTGTGTGTGTGTGTGTGTGTGTGTGTGTGTGTGTGTGTGACACATGGAGCAGTAGAGCTGGAGCCAGACTTACAGCCTGGGAGCCAGTGGTGTGCCAGTCCCAGACGCAGGGCCCCTGGGGCGTCGCCGTGCTGTAGGGGAAGGCCCCCAGCAGGGCCATGGAGGGCTGCAGCTCTGACACCAGGGCCGGGATCTGCTCCTCTTCCTCGCCCTTCGTCCTGTCCACCTCCGACGCGCCCTGGGCCAGAGCGTCGGTGTTCTGGTCCGGGCTCAGCCGGATCCAGGGCTGTGGGTACAGGCGGCAGATGGACGCCTCGGCCAGTTCTCCCAGCAGCTCCGACACCATGTCCCTGATCCCGCCCTCCTTCTCCACCTCTTCCTCTTCCTCCTTCTCTTCCTCAGCGGCTGGGACTTCCTGGTTCAGGAAGTGAATCTCGTAGGACGGAGTGGAGGCATAGACATCGATCTGATCCGGGTCCACTGGCACCGAACCAGAACTCTCCTGGCAGCTGGCATCAGTAACCATCCAGTCTGGGGCAACGGGAAGTAAACTCTTCATCTCCTCCATGTTGTTTCTGTCTGAGGACGAGTCAGAGGTCCGATCTGGGCTGGGGGGGGGTCTCTGACCCGCTGGAGTAAACCTGTCAGACCGCGTCTCCTCGTGTGAGGAAGAGGAGGAAACAGGAGAGGAAGGTGGCGGCCCAGAGCGACTGGGGAGATGGTGGCTTATACCTTCATGGTTCTGAGGTCCAATCCGGTTCCAACCCTCTGGTTCCTGTACACCAGAGGCAGCATCACCAGCCTCTGCAAGGCTTCTCTGAATGATGACCTCTGACCCCTGCAAAGCTTCATCACAGAGCGCTGCCTTAGTGCTTCCTGTCGGCTCTTTGGGTTCCTGATGGAAGGAGTCTGACCCGGGAGCCAGCGGGGTGGCGTTCTGACCACGTCGGGTCGGGGTCGCTCTAGCATTGATGACCCTGCAGATGACCTCTGTGTGGCGCAGTCGGAGGGTCGGCCCCTCCAGCAGAGGAAGGTCATCCTCATCTTCCTCCTGGAGCAACATTCGGACCTCGATGGTCTTTGAACCCGGACGGTTCTGGACTTCCTGCTCCGCTCTGAACCCAGACCCATCCCTGGTTTGCTCTGCTTCTTTCTTCCTTAAGCGGATGTTTTCTTCTTCTGTGGTGGCGCCGAAGTCCTTCAGCTGATAGTTGTCCACTGTGGATGCCTGAGGGTCCTCGCCGCTCAAGGCGGCCTCACCCTTTTGATTGAACACTCCGTCCTTCTCCAGAACCGAGCCAGGATCCAGTTTGTCAGCAGATATGACTTCCAGGTCATGTGACCAGGCTATACCTGCGTGGGCATGGTCCCTGAACATGCTGGCCTCTGATTGGCTGCAGGTGTGCCGGGCAGAGCCGTCTGGGTCCAGCTGGGCTCCAGCTCCTCGGCTCCGATGGGGCAGATGCTGTAGAAGCTGCGGTGCGTTGCTGCGGCGCTGAGCGGGAGTCCTGCTGCGACCTGGGGGCCCGATTGGGGACCCGGCTCTGGCCCTCCCTGCTCGCCGTGCTCCGGCGCCCCGCTGAACCCCGCGGCCCGGTGCGTGGCGGTCTCCAGGGTCTCCGGGCCGAGCGGACTCTGGGTGGACACCTCCATGTAGGGAGGCGTCCCACGGCCGGAACTGGCCTCCCGCGTCCCAGTAGCCATTGCTCTGATATCTGTGCGTGTATTTGTGGTGATGACGGCCTCTGGGCTCTTGTGGGGCTGCTGCGGTTCTGCCTCACCGCCAGACAGAGCCACCTGGGTGCAGTCCGGGTCGGGCCGATCCTGTTCCCTGGCCGGCTCCTGGTCCTCCAGGCGGGCGCTGTGGGCCACGGCCTCAGCCTGCCTCCTGACCTGCTCCGTCAGCGTGCTGAGCCCGTCCTGGAGGGGCGGCGATAACAGAACGCTCCTCTCAGTCTGCGGCTCGGGGCCGAGCTCCTTACTAAAGCAGCAGCCCATCTTCTCCGGCCTGGAGGGAGAGTAAAACACAAGTCTGCTACGGCCGCACTCACCAAGAGCCAAACAACATGAGAGTAACACAGCAGCTGCTCCTCGCCGCCGCCGGCCCGCATGCGGGAACAGGAACGCTCCCCCTTCGGCCCCGCCCCCCCGCCGGCCTTCCCAGAATAGCCGGAGTGAGGGGCTCACATGTCCCTGCCACTCAACCCAGGGAAGGTGGTCTATGTGTTTGAATTAGGGCACAGACAGAGAGGAGTCACATGATCCAACAGCCCACCAATCACTGAGCTGGGTTCTTCCAGGAAATCCCCCTCCCCCCTCCAGGTCCTTCCCTTCTCAACCTGCCATGTGTGAGGATAATCTGTCCATAGAGGATCCTTCTTTTATTTTTGATTTTACTCATTAGCTTTATTTGTTAGGGACAAACACAATAACAGACAACTTGAATGAAGCAGCAGTCCCACGCCTGAATCATGATGCTAATAGCACAAGCTAATGTGCAAAACTTCGCCCTAGATGGGTTTTTCTAGTGAAATAGCAATAATAATGTAAAATGATAAAACATGACATTAACAAAACATGCAAAACCATACACCTTAAACAAAGAAATGAAAAGCAATTGGTGTGGATAAAATGTTGTTTTTGACATAGTCAGAGTTTTTTGTTTGTTTTTTGAACAAATTGAATTATGAGTCAGTCGGCTCTAGAAACATGACAGAAAGCTGCAGTGACAGCTAGATTTCCTTTAATAATCACAAGCAGAGAGTAAAAGTGCACTGGAAGGAAAACGCATCATGTGTCTGTAGCCCCCCTCTGAACACCGACAGGCCCTCTGAGGTGATTTACCTGGTAAACACAGTAATAACCAGGAACCAGCTCTCCGAGCGTCAGCTGCACCTCTAGATCAGCTGGGTAGAACGGATTCACTTCTGACGTCATGGAGGACGTCGGCTCAATGGGACGAGTGCTGCTGCTGCTGGTCGCCACGGAGACTGTTGGGGGGAGCAGAGCAGCAGTTAGCTAACTCAGCATGGATGTGAACTCAAAATGAGACGTCAGGTTGGGCCAACAATAAAATAGCGAAAAAAAAGAAGAAAGAAACACGAAGAATCAAGCTGCAATGGTCCAGTCAAAGTCCAGGCCTCAGCCTTGTTGATACCTGTGAGAACTTTTTCCAGTGTTTTCTAGACCATTGGAAAAATAAATTACACTTAAAAAAAGTGAATTTGTTACAAGTAATTCAATATGTAATGTTTATCAAGTTATCATTTTAAACAAACATAAGTAAATTGAGTTTGAAAATTTAAATTTGATTACATGTCAGAAATTAAGTTTTTTTGAGTTTTTTTTCCAAGTTGAAGCTCCTTTCTCTTTTTTCATTGAACGCACCAAACCTGAAAACGTCCAGCTCACTATAAAACAGAAAATCTTTGGATAAAGTGAAAACTGGCAAGCAGAGATAAAGACCTGCTGGGTGATTCTCTACTCTTTGCCAGCCAATGAGAAAAGGCCCGGTGCTGCAGGACTACGATCTGGACCGCATTATGGTCCAGATCGTGGTCCAGACCCACCAGCGACAGGAATACTTTTTCATTTATTGTGATTTATTTAACCATTATTCATACAAGTTGTACGAGTGAGATAAAACTCATTGACAAGAGACCTGTTTGGAAAAAACAAAATACAAACACAGTAGCAATAGAAATCATTAAAACATCTGCATAAGAACTGACCTAAAGCCAAGATCAAGTTTCAGAAGATTTAACTTGCGCAGATGATCTGTAACGTTTTTTTTTTATTTAATCTGCAGTATCTTGCTGGCTGAGTAACATATAAACCTTAAAAATGTAACAGGAACTGTGTAAAAGCTTTTAACTGATCACAAATCTGGAGTTCAGTAACTGATTTTTAACGGCTGCGTCACTTTCCAGCCAACTTGCTGTGCCCTGCCCTTTACATACAAACATTTTAAAACATATTCCCAGTTTAAAATTCTAAGAAACAGACTAGACCCAAACATTTCCAGGTCTCTCGGTGTAAATATTCATCATTGCTGTGGTTTGATGAGCTTGGCGTCAGTTCTCCGTTTCAAACAGCCGATTTAACTCGGACAGCTCGAAGTAAACAACACAAAAACCTCACAGAAAATCACAAATCACCGCTTCCGCCTCTCTGGCTCAAACTAGCCGAGGTCGATACACCCGAGTTTGTCTGTTTGCATTGTTTTGTTTTTGTTTGTTTTTTAAAAATAACCTCTTCTGTTCAATAGTCAGTCAATTATCCTCCCGCTCAACGTCTGTTAGGCTAACGGTTCCAGCTGTTGCTAACTTTTTGGCGCTCAGCTCGGCAGAGAGCAGCTCGGTTCGGTTCGGCTCGTTTCCCCGGATTCAGAAACCCACCTGGATCCTCCTTCCCGCCTCCTCCGTGGGCTCGAGTCACGCCGGGTTAGAGGTTTTCTCGCACCGTGTTCGTGGCAGTGGGACTTTCTCCGCGTTAGCGTCCATGAAAGCGTCAACCGTTGACACTTTGCTGCTCATACCTAAGTTCTGTGGTTGCTATGGAAACAGTGGGAGGGACCGCCGGAAGAAATAACAACATTCGCTGATTGGATGCGCGCGCACAAAGCAAACAAATGTATTGTATTGTATTGTATTGTATTGTATTGTATTGTATTGTATTGTATTGTATTGTATTATATTATATTATCATACTTGATTCTAAACACAAGTAAAATTTCTAAAATGTTTTTTTTGTTAAGAACATTATTAGGCTTGATTTTATTGTTTTTTTTCTTACCATCGATTTATGTGTAAAATAAATAATTGTAGTGTGATTGTTGTGTTACAATCTGACAAGTTGTGTTTGAGCTTCAGTTTGTTCTTAAACATATCCCAGTGATTAGTAATCAATTATCCATAACTGCTTTAAGCTCCACCCCCTTTTCCATATTCCACAGTTCTGCCACATATTGTGACAAGAATTTATAGCTAACATGTTTGAGTTTTATCGCCTCAATCAAACTGGACGGTTTACTTAGAGGAAGCCATTTTTACATAAATTCAACTTTATTTTAGCTCTTATAAACAAAATATCATAACATTTTATGACAAAACACAAAAAGAAAACCATCACAGTTTAAAAAATCCAAATAAAGTAATGCTGTACTGTCAGGATGTTGAGCGTTTGGCTGACTGAACCAGTTCTGCAGATTGTGCTGTACAGGTCCGGTCAACATGGACCCAGTCAGTATGGATCCGGTCAACCTGGATCAGGTCAACATGGATCAGGTCAACATGGATCAGGTCAGCACGGACCCGGTCAGCACGGATCCGGTCAGCACGGATCCGGTCAGCACGGACCCAGTCAGCATGGACCCAGTCAGCATGGACCAGTCAGCATGGATCCGGTCAGTACGGATCCGGTCAGCATGGACCCGGTCAGCACAGATCTGGTCAGCATGGATCCGGTCAGCACGGACCCAGTCAGCATGGACCCGGTCAGCAGTACAGGCTCCAGTAGACGGTGTTGAAGAGCAGGTAGGACAGCGGGAAGGCCAGGCGTGAGTACGAGTCGATCATGTAGCTGTTGTTCACCAGCAGCTCCACGTTCTCCCGCACCGACCGCTGCCGCCGCAGACGCGTCCCCTCCGGCGGCCGCAGGTCCGAGTTCGGGCTCGGGGCCGTAAGGGGGTCGGAGGTCAGTGCCGTCGCCATCCGAGGAAAGGTGGTCAGCTCGATGTCATTGTCATGGAAACAGCCATCAAAGGCCATGGCCTGGCTGGCGTTGAAGGTGGAGGGGATCTGAAAGGGGCAAGAAATGATTTGTTTTATGAAATAAAATATCTAATTATCAAAATTTAGTCATAATTATATGATGTGTAGCTATTAGTTACTTTAATGTTTATATTCATAGTTAGGACAATAAAGAAAATCTAAAAATATAGCTCTAAAATTATGGCTATACAAAAATATAATTAAAAAATATTGAGATTCTTCTAATATATTCAACTAAATCAAGAACAAATAGCCCAGATGTGTATGTGTCACTCAAATAACATTACTATTATTATTATTACATGCTAATAACCTCCAATATATGAAGTGGAAGGAATCTATATGTGCCTTAATCCTGTTAAACTATTTTCGAATTATTTCCAACAGAATTTCAAACAATGTTAGAAATAAACATTTAATTTTTAATTCAGGCATCCACTTTGCACTAACTAAAAATATTCCACTTGCTTGAAAAAAAAACCACCTCATATTTATATCTAATTTAATATTTATTACATAGAGTATTTATTTAAGATTGTTAAATAAATAAAAGTAAATTAGTGAAGACATTAGCTTTAGCTGCTCTTGCTTTAGCTGTTAATAGTTCAAAATGGGAAGGAAAACAAAAAAATCTGATATCCAGTTCTATATCAAAATTAAAATCAATTTCAAAGCTCTTGACAAAGAATTTTTTATTTTTCTAAAATTAGAAATTTCTTGTAATGTCAAAGTGTGACCACAGGGGGGAGACAAAGTAAGCCATAATTCTGTAGATGTTGTTATGGTTTTGAAACAGGGTCTCCTTCCTGACCTTCCCCCTCCTCATCTTCCTCATCTCCTCCAGGGTGGTGCAGTAGTTGACAGCAGCATATTCGATGACAGATAGGAAGACAAACAGGAAGCTGGTCCACAGGTAGATGTCCACAGCTTTCACGTACGACACCTGCACAGTGAAACACAGCTCCTTTTTAACCCACATTTACTTCTAGTCAAACTTTTATTGCGTTATTTAGCTAATTTTTTTGAAGGTCAGATGGCATGTGTAGCAGAAGTTGCAGAGAAAAAAAGTCAAATATAAACATCTGAAAAGCAAAACTGGACTGATTCTGACCAAAACCTTTTTAAAAAGCTACATTCAAGTTTTTAGTTGAATTATGAAAGTATAAAGTTATATGCTATTTAGTATAATTTCCAAGGTGACTGTCTTTCCATGTTTCTATCTCACTGATTTCTTTAGAAAACTAAGGCAGAAACCCAGAAAATAACCAGAGTCAGTATGAGAGTCTGAGAAAGTGTCCGTCTTCATGGAGACGTCCAGACCTGAGGCATGGATGAGGACACTCCGGTGATGATGGTGGACATGGTGAGGACGGTGGTTATGCCTGCAGGAGGACACAGCAGGCGGTTCTGTCAGACATTACTGCCTAATCACTGTCATTCTCACAAAAGTCCAACAGAGGGCGCTGTGCGCCTGTTTGGCCTGAAGTAAGGAAAGGAAGAAGAGGCTAAAATAATGTCAATTCTGCAGTTTGTAACGCAACAAAAAGAGTTTTAGCAGTTTTCTGTGCTTTTAGAATATATCTGCTGCTTATTCCTAAGAAAATACTGAAAAAAACAGAAAAATCCTAGATATCTTTAAAAAAAATCAGTTTAATCATAAACAAACTTCTCATTAATGTAATAAACTACTATATTTACTGGGTGTCATGCTATTATCATAATATGATAGTGATTTAACTACCAAGAATACTTTACCATTCAAAGAAACTATAATCTTACACTCTTAATAACAAAAAATTCAAGTTTATCCAGGAATATTTCAAATCTCTGCTCAGATAGACGCAATGTAAAGGTGTGGAAGGTGGTGACATTGAAACAGCATTATTTAAAGGAAGAAATAACTCAAAGTAGCATCCATAATGCGTGTGTTACCCAGAGACACGCGGGCGGGAACGGCTCTGCGGTCGATCCAGAAGGAAACCCAGGACAGGACGACCATCAGCATGGTGGGGAAATATGTCTGCAGCATGAAGAAGAAGATGTGGCGCCGCAGGATGAAGTTTATGAAGAGTCGGTTGTACCAACCTGCAGACACACACAACGGGTTAACTTCCTGTTGTTAGTGTTTACTGCAAAACTCCAAAAGTCTGACAGATGGATTAACGCCATCCGACATACATACAACATGCACTAACAGTCGCAGTGAGTTAGAAACAGACTGGGATCGATCTACGACTCCGGACAGAGAACCAGAACCAACAGTCTCTTCTACGGCCACCAAGGATGGAAATGGAAATAAAAACTAACGCAGTTAAAAACTCAGTTTTACAGTGTCTCACTCCAAAATGTGGCAACAACAGAACAAAGTATAACAATGCAGAACATGGCCATACGTAGAATAATCTAGACTTCTGCATGTGTGAGACGTGACAGAAATTATTCTGAGTTCAGATTAATGAGATTAACTCCAAACCCTTATAACGAGATTAATAACTCTGATAATCAGATTAATCACACTATAGCCATGTGGCTAATCACTGTTATAGTTTTTCTTTGTCAAAAATGTACTTATAAATATGCAAACAGAACTCATTTTGTTCCAAATGTTATTTTATAAGTGCAAACTATAAACTGGTTGTTACTTGGTTGGTGGATAATTCATCATCGCAAGACGTTTTTCACATGAAATTCTCTGCCTGTAGAAGTAGTAATTTATCTATATTACTAGATAAATTACTATTTCAAATTATTATTTTGAATAATAATTTATTTAAAAGCTTATTTATCTTGCTGGCTTTGTCTTATTTTAAGCATACGAAGAAATTTGCACAAGAACCTAGATAAATATACTTAGTAATCTTTAGTGTTTTTGCAGCGTATGGTTCCTGAAGCCTCAGATGGATTTCTTTATGAGCATCAAACTAAACATCTGAGGTTTAACAGAATAAATTTCAGGCTCATGTGTGATTTTAGCCATATTAGGTGTGATAAACAACTTTTTTGTCTCTAAAAACAAAAAGCTGTGATTGCAGCACAGTTAAATGATTCTGCATATCATTAAGTCTAAAGATGAAAAGTGTGTCAGTGTCGTACCTGTGCTGCTGTAGAAGGCGAGGCCACTGGAGGCATGGAAATGCTCAATGAAGAACTGGGACAAAACGATCTCATCCGTCCTCAGAGAGTCGTTCCCGTTCTTCCAGTAAAGCATCAGGTCGTTCTCATTATATGCATCTGCAGGTTACGAACAGAAAGAGGGGGAAACTGTTTCTGTCTTACAGTTTGAGCAGGTTAACAGCTCAGAGGGATTTGTTACTGATTTGATTCTTACAGCTCTCCAGCTCCAGAGAGCAGTTCTGAGTGTCCAGAGGAAAACTGCTGAAGTCCATGGAGCAGAGAGCCGTCACTGTCACCCTGCAACACACACACACACACACACACACACACACACACCACACACACACACACACACACACACACACACACACACACACACACACACACACACACACACACAGAAATAACTTTCATTTTACATCTTTAACATCCTCAGCAGTCTACATGGATTTAAAAACAACAGGACCAAATACTGAGCTGTGTGGAACTCCATATTTGTTTTGTTATGTTTATGGAGGCTTTGGATTTGAATGTTCTTTCAATCTAAGCAAGAAAAATCTTGCAGAATCATATTTATAACAAATAAAATATTCAAGTATAAAAACAAATGAATGAAATAAGTATAACTTTAGCATGGATACAGTACAGAAGGAGCCATATTCCTTCAGGTGAAACGTTTCCCACAGTAAAATCTGATGAATTAACAGAGGATACATTTCCACCTGTGAATAGACTTTCTTTGAGTTTGTGATTTTTCTGAGAGAGGCTGAGGAGGTTTCTGTGCAGCTGAGGAGTGAGAGGACGTTGTGTTTTCTGTGGTCTGTACCTGACGCTGTAGAGGATGTTTCCGTCGGGGTAAACCCGCAGCATGATGTTCTCCATGGTGGTGTCGTGGATGAAGGAGCGCTTGGAGTGGACGAAGAAGACGTCAGGGACCCAGATCTTCTTCACCAGCCGGGAGTCGAACGTCCGGCTCTGGTTGGTGCGGGACGGAAACGACAGCCGCTCGTCCTTCCAGTAGTGACGCAGGTACAGAGTCATGGTGAAGTCCTGATGGATGGAGGCATTAATCCACTTTTAATTTCACTTTCATTAACTTTTAGAATCAGCTGAACCAAACAAGCTCCTGACAGTTTCAGATCATTCCTACTTATTTTATTTCTGTTTGAATATTTACATTTTCTTTGTGGTTTTGTGGTATTTTTGATTGTGAAAACTATATTTTATATGCTCAGATGCTGTGGGAAACATATGCTAATTTTACATAGCGTAGTTTCCTAAAATATGCCAACAGTACCATTTCACATCAGCAGGAGGCAGAGGCTAAAATCCTAAAAACACTGAAATTGTTCCAATCTATATCAGTCTTATATTAATGTAAATAATCAAATATTTGACAAAGAATAATATCACTAGAAAAAATCTGAATGAGAATAAAGTCATAAAACTATTAACTAATTTAGGAATATTAGTGGGTTTAACAGAGTTAAATGTGGCTCTCCGTTCCAGTTCATGACCAAACCTTCCTCTGCGTGAGCCGCAGCTGAACCCAGTTCAAAGCTGAACCCTGGAGGTCGCAGCTTAACCTGGAGGTCGCAGAGCCGCAGGGAGCGGCTCCACGTCATTCTTCCTCTTTTCATGGACGACAATGGAGCAGCAAATAAATCCACTTTCACAGAACATATTTATACAAACACTTCAGGAGATTCTCACCGCTCTCAGTTGTTAATCCAGGATGTTTGGATTGTGTCATTATTTTTAAATTTCTCTCTTTGATGGGAGTCGGCATTGCAGGGATTTTTATGGGCCTTTCACAGAGTTACAGGAAAAGTCAGAAACTCACCATGTTGACCTCAGAGATGCTGTCGATGCTCTCCACCTGCACATCGATGCCCACCGGGATGGCTGAACCTGAAACCGCAGCAGAACGTTAAACTCACTTAAAATCAGAACAAAACACAGCAGATTTTTTTCTAGCACAACCCAGGCTTCATGGACATCCAATAAGCATCTGATCTTCTCATTGTGGCCTGAGTTTGTTTGACCAGACTGGGTTCACCCCAGCTGGACGTCACTGATACTCGACAAATGTCACTGATTCTGCAAGCGGGAAGAAACCCAACAACCATGGCGGACCGAGATGTGAAGCCAATGTTTTACCTCATGGTCAGTGCAGGAGTTGCTTCTCTCTAGGCTGAAGTAGATGCTAGTTGGGTGTGGCGTCTTTGTACTTAAGATTCTGAGTTTTCAGCTCCAGAAAAGCCCCACGGAGTTGGAAATGTGAAAGACCAGCCCGACGTTTGGTATCCAGTATGGCCGACACACACAGAACATAGTGAAAGTTGCTTATGGTTTATGTGTTTGTTCTTATTTTTGAGAAAAAGGAATTCTGTGAATAAATAAAATGAGGGATACTCTTTTTGCATGTATAATTCCCATGACATTTAATTGTAATGTATGTTAAAAGTATGTTATGTTATTTTATCATATGGTAAAACTTTTCCATGCCTCTGTAAACAGATTAGGATAAAAGTTCTCTCATTTGATTGGTAAGGAAAAGTCATGCAGTTCCTCTGTTCAGGCCTGTAAACCTCATTTTGTTCAGTGACATCCTTTGTTTTTACCACAGGCTCAGTACAACCAGCCTCCGCTCGCCTCATTGGCAGATTAAATATGTATAAACCTGATTTAAGCACAAACAGAGCAGAAAAAGCTAAACAGCACAAATTCTAGAGTGAAAAAGGCTTTGATCACAGCTTCTCGCTGTTCCTGCTTTGCCTCCACAAAGTAACCAGGATCTGATGGTGTTTGGTTTGCAGGATGTTGGCCCACCGCAGTGCAGCTCCAACACTCCTGTTCTTGTTTGGAAATTTACGCGGCTAATTTTAGGATCTGTTTTGTGCTGTGGCTTAGAGACAAAACAAATAAACACCCTTCTTGCAACACAAACATCAACATTACAATTCACTGCAGATTTAAAGTCATAAATCATCCTTGTTATGGGGACAGAATGTAAAAAACCAAACAGGAAGTGAAATCCAAAGGAGGAAAACAAGCTAAGAGTCTGTCAGTCTCTCAGGATGTTTTCATGATAGTTGCTAATATAAAGGGAAATCAGGAGCAGGTGATGAAGTATTAATTATAAAAATACAAGTTGAAGAACCAGTAGAACGGTCAGCCTGGAGAATGAATCCATCAAAGATGATCTGGGAGCAAAGGCACATATTTTAAATATAAAAGCATAAATTTATTCAATTCAATTAGAAGTTTATTTATCTCAAAGGGAAATTAAATGTCATCATATCTGATATAATCCAAGTATCTTAAGTGTTGTTTTTGATGGTGTGAACAGGATGAATCCCCAGTAGCAGTCAGTCTCACAACAAATCAAAGAGGCCTCTGACTGAAGACTGTTGCTATGCAACTGACAAGCTAACAGCTCGATGTCATGGCAGCAGAGACGATATTCCACCGTAGCACGTCTTGAATGATCAGTTGTTAGCTAGCTGTGCTAATCCACCTCCTTTGCTTTGCTGCTCATCTTTAAGACCTTGTCTGGCCGTATGGATAAAGAGACGTTGGATATGATGGAAGGATTCTCTCTTGGGGTCAAAGTTCAGGTATTAGCTGAGTTTTTGAGATGCTAACCAGCTGCAAAATCATACCTGTTTGTGACTAATGGCTTCCAAAACCAGAGGAAGTGGCTGTGTGCACATGCAACGGCTCGACTGAAAACAACACGAAGTAAAGTCACGAACAAAACAACTGAGAAATAACGAGCTGCTCCAAAACACTTTTCTATAAATTCTGGTAATTATGTTAATTTTCTTCTCACGGCCAGTGAAAACATTTCAGATGAGAAAATGACATCAGCCCAATAAACAACAACCTCCAGAAGAGAAAACCTCAAGGAGAATCAGAACCTGGCCCAGTGTGAGCGGCCATCGGGTCGGACAAAACAAAAACACTGCAGGAATGTGTGTGAAAGGCTTCACTGCAAAAACACACCATGTTGTGTACTAGTGCAAATGTCTTAGTACAATAAGACAAAACTAACTTACAAGTCAGTTTCCAGCAGGATGAAGGAGCTTGTTTCAATAAATAATTCCTTTGTATGAAAAAGATTATTTCACTTTCAACAAGAGAGTTTTCTCAAGTTTTAAAAGAAATAATCTGCCAATTGAACTAGTTGAATTAGTTGAACTGAAACTATTAGGTCAATAATTAAGAAACAAACAAACTCCTCTATATATTGCTAAAAAGTGACTTGTGAGTTGGTTTTGTCTTTTTGAGGTGTTTTCAGAGGATCTGGATCGAACCTCTTGGTGGGTTTTGTGTTGTTGCAGTGAACAGGTACATTTTGTGCGATCGCTCTCCGGATGTGCAGCATCTGCTCACATTCCTGCTCCTCCTCTCTGGGCTGCGGGGAAAGAAGCCATGTTTTCGTTTTGGCTGAATGTTAGCAGACCCACCGCACAATAAACAGTTCATTTACTGACGCTGACTGACAGCCAGGCCTGTAAAACTTCTGCTGCCGCTCGGCTTTGTGCCCGGACAGAACCGGCAGCGCTGTCAACACGCTGTCCGCCAGGTCAAGGCCAACGCCGGAGTGTGTTACTTTGACATGTCCATAAAGGAGTCACTCCGACATCTTTTCAAAGTGTTACACTGCAAAAACATAAAATCTAACCAAGTATTTTAGTCTTGTTTCTGGTGCAAATATTTTAGTACACTTGAACTAAGACACAATTTATTTACAGGTAAGTTTTAAGCAAAATGTATCAGCTTGTTTTAAGTAAAGAAAAATCTTTGTAGTCATGAAAATGTACTAGTTCTCACTTATATAAAGGAAAAAATGTTTTATTAGTAATGAAATAATCTGCCTGTGAAAGTAGTTTTTCATAAATATTGACTTAAAAGGAACATATCATGCAAACTGTAATTTTGCACATTTTTATATTTCCATTTGAGTTTCCTCTGCTTTAAAAAAAACCCAGCGTTGTTTTGGCAATAAGTTAAAGTTTTGATGTATGAAAAATGAGACCTTTCAAAAACCTCCACAATGAAACATCCCAAATCAGCAGGCATTACCCGTTTCCTAGCAACCCCAGCTGAGAACAGCCTGGTACCTAGCAACCACAGGTGAAATCCAGCACATTTGGTCATCTGGTTTTACTGCTGTAAGTGTTGTACAATGGCTGCTGGAAAAGACAGGAGTTTTGTTTGTTGTTGATTTTCCATCCTGAAACCACTTGCTGCATTCTTGTTGGTTGTGAAGGAGGTTCTACTAATGCTTTTCGTAGATGTTCAGTTGCATCGTTGAGCATCTATTTGCAGGAATTTTAACATGTGAGTGTAAATGTTAAGTTGGGGGCGTGGCCAGCAGCAGCTTAATTGGATTGAAGTGACAGAACCCTAAAAAGATCTCATAGATATATAATCATAGATTTATCTATTATACTGTTCAAAACAGAATAACATTTAAATAAAGCTCTTATATTTTTGTATGTTTTTTTCCAAGTGTACTAAGATTTCCATTCGAAACTAGATCAAAAATCCTTGGTAAGATTTTGTGTTTCTGCAGAATAAACTACTGAAGCTTGAACAAATGTGTCTGTTGTCCAGGTACAAAATCATTTAGACATTGAAGGATGTTTTCCTGCTGTGGATGGATCCCAGAGAACAAAGTGTTCAGGAGGGTGAGAGCATGAAAAGTTTAGCAGCATTATAGCATTTAAACGCTTTGTTTTTTTCTGCTCCAGCTTTTCTTCTTGTAAAATCTGAGCTCCTCTTGAAGCCAAAATGTTGTTCACTACCGACTTAAATCCAAAACAAAAGAGGAAACCAAAACAAAAACTCCAAAAAGCATAAAGATCCAGAACTGACGCAACAAACCGCAAACTGGCCACAACCAGGACATATCACACAGAAACAAAACAAAGAAAACATAAACCAACCAGAATGAAACTGAATTAATACAATAATATCAGGATATTATACTTTTAACACTTATAAGTGAAAAAATCTACTTATTCGCTTTTTAAAAATAAGTATTAAGAAATGATTGACGTTGTTTTATGAGACAGAAGAGGATTTCTCCTTCACTCGGCCAAATGTGAGGCGTCCTTCCTTAATTATCCTGCTGACAGAAAAATATCTGAAGGTTTTTGTATTTTCTGTATTCACAGCCTTTCATCACAAATCCAGCCTGACACCAGAGACGTTTGTCTGGATCAGCGTTACATTCTCATAGACTCAAAGATACCTGATTATGGTTCTGCAAATCTGAGCTCTGTAAGTCGGATTAAGCTCGGGTTTCATCCACCGGGCCGGATTGAAGAGAAACAAAGAGACGAGGAGCCAAAAGAGCCCGGAGCGTTTACTGACGCTAAACCAGTTAAGTCTAACAGAATTATGTCATAGAAAAACTGATATAACGTAATATCTAACTGTTCAATTAGAGACACGCTATTAAAATCAACTGAATCAATGTGGCTTTTATTACAGAAATCTGATTTTTAACCTTTAATAAAATCTCCAGTGGTCCAGTTATTGATGGTTTCTATAGGATTTGGTTCTGACTGAAGGCGGATTTTATGTCAGATTAACAGTTCCTGCATTGGTTTGGCCGTATGTATTGGATTACAATCCCATTTTCTGTTTTCGGACAGAAGCCAGCAGCTTTTTATTCAGAATGTCATGTCGTAATTCAAGGAGCTCAAATTGAAAATTATAATTTTTTAAATATAGGATTCTTTTTTTGCCACAAATATTTCTACTCAGATTAAAGGTTGGATATTTTCCTGTGTCAGATTACTTTTGCATTAAATGTTTTTCTATCAGAGGGCCAATATGTTTTCATGTTAAATTACAATAGAGTAGAATAATCCTTTATTCACTTGTTACAGTTAAAAAACGGTATAAAAACATCTATAAACAACTGTATATTAATAAAGTACCTACAAATAAATAAAATTAAAATTAAATAAAAACCTTAAAATTGTAAATGTGCAGTCTCCATTCGATGCTGCAGACGAACCAACACAAGGCAGCATTTTTAGGAAAGAATTTAATGTGAATGAGTGAAAATAAAAGGTAAAAAACTGACATAAACAGATTCTCTTTATAATTTAAGGCATTAATTTGTTCAGTTTCTTTAGCTCCAGATAAAATCTGCAGAGGTTTTTCCTTCAAGCACCATCTGGACTCATTGACCTCCAACTAAAACTTTCTGCAGAGTTATGGTTGATTCCTGTTTGACATTTGTCTCTTTTCAAAGTTTCATGTTTAAAATCGAAGACAACGAATCTTAAAATCCCAGCTGTGATCATTTGAAGTTGGAAACGTTGAGCAGGAAACCAATCAACATTAGATGGTTTGTGAAACACATGTGGAGAAACTGAAGCTTTTTGTTTTATGTTTCACTTTGATGTGTAAGGGCCTCTTAAAGGTTGACCTGGAATTAGAGCCATTAGTCATAAAAACATGCAAGAAAATAACACTAACTGGAGTATTTTTGGTGTGGGTTGAACCCTGAGGTGTCTGACGGGGGATGACTTTAACTCTCCAGATGCTACAGCCTTATCGGAGAGAGAAAACTGCTGAGATTTAAATTACAGTGCGAGGAAATGCCGCAGAGCTGCGGGGCAGACAGCGGTGCTGCTGCTGACCCCACCTGAATGACAGGCAGGACCACAGACTGCAGTGAAAACCTTAAAAACGGATTCATCTTCCAGATGCAACGGGATCAAAAACATATCTGGGTATGTAAGATGTCAAACTTCTGCCAAAATACAAGAACACATTAAGTTTACCTGCAACCTCAGGATGGAATGAGATCGTAAATTCAGGATGAGATTATGAAAAGTGAAAGGAAGAAAATGTCATGAGCAAAACGTATTGCAGCATTGTCTTCTGTCTTCTGTTCAGAAAGATCCTGTTTACATGATCGCTACAGTAAAACCGTCAATGTGAAGGACGACATTTAGATTCTCCTGCAGGATTTCCTTTATGTCATCCTTTGAACTGAAACTTCACTCAGGAAATAACATCTATTTTTTTTTTAAAAAAGCACTGAATTTCAGCCAGATAAATGAACAAATAAAGGTCAAATTAAAGCCGCGCGTCGCTCGAGCTCATCCAGGTCATTAAAAATAAGGTTATAGCTCCTTTTTAGGGGAAGATGGGAGTATTTGAAAAAAATGTTTATTAGAAAAAAGAAAAGAGACTTTTAGCAAACTCAATGCTAACAGAGTTAGCAGCATTGCTACATTAAAAATATAGGAAAATGCTAATAACTGTCTCACCAGTTTTTTTTACACCGATACAACATTTGCTCTTAAACAGTTTAGATTAGCTGCTAGCTGATATAGCAGCTAGCCTAACTATAAATTTAACACTGATATTTTAATAATCCTGAAGTATTGAATAGATATTGAATCCAGCTGTTTAAAACAGGTTATCTAGCTTGAATAACCAGTCTGATGTTAGCTCTAGAAGTGAAGCTTGAGTTGCTGTTAGCTTGAGTAGCCAGCTGTTAATTTTAACAGATTGAGTAGCAGTTAGCAGTTGTAGCATTTAGCTTGGACAGCTGTTAGCTTTAGTAATAAATAGGTAAAGTATCAATCAGCTTGAACTGCTGCTAGTTTTGATACAGAATATGTTGACAGGGTAGCTTTTAGTGATAGCATTGAATACGTTGAGTGGGAGTAGCCTGGGTAGCTGTTAGCTATAGCAAGCAACATATTGAGAGACAGTTAGCCTGTTCTATTGAATAACTGTTAACTGTAGTGATGAATAGATTGAGTAGCTTTACTATTAAATAATGTTAGCTTCTGCAATGAATAGCTAAATTAGCAGTTAGCGTGGACATCTGCTTGTTCTGATATGGTTAGCAAACCATATCACAATGAGTGGCAGTTAGCCTGAGTAGCGTTTCCATGTTTTACAGGTTTTCTTCCTCGTTTATGGCGGTTGGACGTATTGATGTGGCTTACCGCCATCTACTTTGAAGATTTTTCTAAATTGAAGACTTCAGAGTAACAGAAACACCTCTCTAGTTTAATGTGTGACATTAGTTACTGATCACTTTTGTTTATTAAAAGTGTTTCTGTTGCTTGACTGCTGCAGGTGTTTTTCTGTCCACGTCGTGTAAAGAAATGCTCTTAAAGTTTCTAAAATCTTTCTAACATTAATGCAGTGGCTTTAATCCAACTAGATTTAGTACAGTAACGTCATTTTGAAGATGTGTGTATATTTTTACATGCATTGTTGTGTGACGGTCATTGTTGCAGATGACCCTTTGTTTCCCACCTCCCATCTGCTCCAGACTTGGAATATAATCCAGATTAATGCTCACGAATCCCCCCGACTCTCTCACACACACGCACACACACCCCCCCCCACACACACACACACACCCACACACACGCACACACACACACACACACGCACACACACACACACACACACACGCACACTCACAGCAGGTCCCAATCACATTTGGTTGCGCTCGCTGCTGTATTCCCAAACTGCATCAACACTCACACACTGTGGTGATATCTGGGTCAGCAATGCTGATTTTTGGATTGACACATCCGCTGTCTGAGTGACCCAGTGTCCATCATCAAAGCGCTGCTATCATCCACGTGGGAGTGATTTTCTCTGTGTGAGTGAGTGGATTAACTCATCAGGGATCAGGGATGAAATGACGAAAGCTATTGTCTGTTAAACAATAGGTTTGCTGGATTTTTTATGATTATTTTTCTGTTTCTGACCTCCAAAGCCTGGTCTAATGGCGAAGTCTTGCTCCTCGATCCTCAGCAGTTGTTCACTTTTTATTAGCAGCGTTTTGGTGCTGTCCTGCCTCTTCAGCTTGTAATCGATGCGTCTGCAAATGAACACAGATGATCAGACAGCTGAGTGATTAGGCTGTGATTACAGGTTTAATTAGAGACAGTGGAGATTGTGCTTTTCTCTTTTAATCCTCAACTCCAACTCGCTCTCCTTCAGCTAAACTACTTAATGACAGGCGTGTCGCTTCTTTATGCTCAAACAAAGACATTTGTTCTCTTTCTATAAGCTCTGTCATTTTATTGCTTTGCAGCCATTTGTTGCCCCACAGGTCTCATAAAAATAAATCGAAAACAAAAAGTGGATAAAATTACACAATAATGTTTTAAAATAAATAAAACTTTATTCAGCTGTTAACATAAGAGGAAACCTCACAATTACAGGCTTAACTGACTGTGAGGATTTATGAGCTAAAAACAAACATGTGCAAACATTGAAAACACAGCATGAAAAATGAGAAATGCTGGGAGATGAAGAGCTTTAAACACATCGAGAACAGCAGCCAAACTGATTTCACTACAACTTCTGCTTCAACAAGTTTACGCCTTGAAAAACACAAAATTATGCAAACTTATTAAACAAAAGGTTCAGAATAAAACTGTGTAAATATAAAAATAATCCAATGACAATCAGAATAACTTTATCTCATGTTCTCTGACATTTCCCCTTAATAAGAAAAAATGATATTAATATCAAGTTTAAAGGTGAACAAATGAACTTCCGCTTTCTTAAGAGATTAAATAACATGAAAAATGTTTACTATTTGTGACATTTATGCACATTTTGGATATTTTTCATTCATCAATTTGCAATATTGCTATTAAATTTAAGAGATAAATTCCTTTATCAATTCAATTTCTCAACTTTTAAGTGAATTAAATGGTATTTTTAGACATTAAAACTGAAATTAAGGTTTCTCTTGAAGGATTGTGTTAACATGAGAGAAGATAAGCTAATTAAAGCAGTTTCTTACTATTACATCAGAGTAAAGTTGTGTGTTTATCAGATGAAAACATCAGTAAGTGAAGCTCTTTATGTTTATTTCCTTGCAGCCAACAGAAGATTTTATCAATGAGGGCAGAGTGGCTGCAGCTGTCAACATCTGCACTCAGCCGTTACACACACACGCACGCACGCACCCACACCCACCACACGCACGCACACATACATACACACACACACACACACACACACGCACACACACACACACGCACACACACACACACACACACACGCACACACCCACACACACACGCACACATACACACCCACACACACCCACACACACACCCACACACACACACACACACACACACATACACCCACACACGCACACACACACACATACATACACTCACCTAACAAGCTGTGAGCTACACTACAACTAAGATCAGCAGCTCCATAAAAATTATTACTGAAGAAGCTGAGCGTTTACAAAGTGCTGTATCCAAACATATTGACGGAAAGTTGAGTGGAAGGAAAAAGTGCAGCCTTTTAAAGCAAACCTCATTCGGGTATGTGGCAGAAATTCCAGTCAGAAGGATCCAGGAAAATGACTAAAACTATCACAGAAGGATCTAACTGGATGTAGGAGAAACTTTGACTGCCAAGCATCTTCATGCATCGTTATTGTTCAACATGCGGTTCGTTGGCTGGAAGGCCTACAGACAGGACAACGGTTCATTCTAAGTGTAACATTGCTTTATGCTGAACAAATTAATCTGAAATAAATACATAAAAAGAACTGGACTACAAAACACAAAATATCACAAAGAATTTTTGGTCTATTTTAAAATAAATATCTTAATATTTAAATTAAAATATAAATATAAATATAAATACACTTAAAATAAGAAATAGAAACTTATTTTAAGTGAATAATTCCATAACATTGATAAAAAAGTTTTAGTGAATTAATCTGCCAGTGGAAACAGAACTTTTTAAAAATCAATATTATTGACTCAAAACAAGATCCTATTTCTTGCTGTAAAGTTACTTGTCAGTTAGTTTTGTCTTATTATTCACACTAAAAACTGAAACAAAAATACTTGATGAGAGTTTGTGTGTTTGCAGTGGAAAGGTGTTTATTTATTCTCTCTAAGCCTCATGGGAAATCTCTTCAGAACATTGATTTGCTCTTTTCTGGCATCAGCTCCATAAGAATCGTCTGTGAGAAGATCAGATCCTATTTTCCAATAATCAATAATAATAATTATTCATTTCTCTGTGTAGAAGTTCTGACCCGACTGAGACGCTCGGACCGACCCGTCACAGCAGAGTAAACTTCTGTCCTCTTGACCCAGATGGCCTTTAGACACTTCATAACCAAAACCCAAGGCTAATTTTCTCCCATCATGCTGTGCTTCCTGCACCCTCAGATCACATGACTTTCCAGCTCTGTAGGCTCGGCTGACCTTTTAAGGATCCAGGTAACGCTGCTTGCTGTCCAACATTCCCATCAACCACCAGGAAAACACACCTGAACCAGGTGACTCCTGTTATCTGCTCTGGAAGCCGTAAAAGGCGAAACTGGAAGCTGCTGAAGCGAGTATGTGAGTGATGAGGAAGTAATAGACACTGCAAAACATCAGCAGGCATTTTGATCAAAGCAAATATCTTCATGCACTTGAAATAAAACAAAAATTACTTATGAGTAATTTTTTACAACAATATAGAAGCTTGTTTGAAGTCAATAATTCCTTATTATTGATACAAAAAATACAAATTCCATTGTGAGATTATTTAATTTATAACAACACATTTTCCCCATATTTTAAGGGAAATAATCTGCCAGTGGAAACACTGAGTTACTTTTTCATATTTCATTCAGACTAAAAATGAGAAATATGTTCATTACGAAACTTTACGGGAAGGAAGTGAAAGATATGAAGTAATGTGCGTCTGTCTGCTCAAACCGAAACCACAGAACTGGCTACCAGTTAAAATAAATATGCTCACTCTATAGATGTTTTTATTTAAAGGCCATCCTGTCAGTTTCATAAAGTGGAAAATACTGAAACTCAGTAAAAATCTGACATGAACTTTTTCTGCTTCCCTGATTTTATGCTAAGTTTTAGAACGAATGTAAACTGAAAAAAGTTTAAACTTGAAGGAGATTATTGTTATAAAGTTTTATTTTACATTCCTGAAAATATTTCTTATATAATATTACATCTTTATTATCTCTATGAACAAATAAATCATAGATTAAAAACACTATTTAGCTGAGCAAAATTACATAAAAATAAAATATTTCCCTAATTTACTGTCACAATAATAAGGGTCAAGGTCACAGCGCTGTTTCATGTTAACCCCACCTAGCATCTTAATAACAAGCTAAGAGTAGCAATGCTAGGTTTTAGCATTCTTTCTGACTATTTTTATGACAGTAACCTTTTAAAGTAATATCTCCATTTTATCTACTTCTAAAGGAGTTTCTTCTATTTTTTTAGGGCTAGGGTTAGGGTTAGGTGGGTTAGGGTTAGGTGGGTTAGGTGGGTTAGGGTTAGGTGGGTTAGGGTTAGGTGGGTTAGGTGGGTTAGGGTTAGGTGGGTTAGGGTTGAATCCAGTCCTAAAGCGGTTTGGCAGAACGGATACAGAGAACGGCTCAATGTGGTTCGGATGCAGACAGGTTGACTCGTCTCTGCTGGGCTGCCTATGTAAAGTTAAGGTCCTCTCTATCCAGAGATGCTCTGCTGATTAAACAAGCATCAGTTTTCACCTGGTCACAGAACAACTGCAGAGCAAGTCAGAGCAAATGTGGGCCAACTTCCTGAACAACAGGAAGCATCATCCAGGTGTCTCAAAATGACACACCTGGATGTCATTCTTTGTTACAGCTGCCAATATAAACTCAACCTTCCACAGTGGTGTTATAAAATACAGACAGATTTGCCCTATGATGGCCGTTTATTCACCAGTTTGGTTTGCGGTCAAATCTCTCTCTGCGTTTCAGTGATTACAGAGACATGATGCCTCCATCTGCCACTGCGCCTCCTCTGTCTCCTCGTTTTCATTCCCGCATCAAAACTTTGCCAAACTTTACATTCATTCACTGCGTCTCACCCTCCAAACTTGAACTTGCTGTTTTCTCCCAGGAAAACCTCCTTGTGTCTCCTGCGGTTGGAGCTGCGGCCGCCGGTCACTGTGGCAACAAAGCTGGCCGCCGTCAGCGCCAGGCAAGCCAACACGTCCGCCTTCATTTTTCACACCAGAGCAGCATCCCCGCCGCAGCGAGCGCCCTGCTCCGCCGCCAGGAACATCCACACTCAGAGCCGGAGGTTGGAGTCCAGCATCCCGCGGCGGGTTCCTCCGCTTCACAGCAGGGCGAAGCCGTGAGGAAACCTCCTGACTGCCCGCTGCTTCCGCTCCGGTTGTGGCGCTATCTCTGATTAAAATCGATATGAATCTATTCCTCGCGGCGATAGAAGAATGACACTAATTCCACCCAAATCCTCTTATCCACGGCCACCGCAATCTTTCACTAACCTACAAACAGTCCGCCTCTCACATTCTCTCCCATCAGTAATCAGGATTTTCTCGGCGGGACAATGAAAAAGCAGCACCTGCGGATTACCTGGAACACCTTCACGTGTCGGTGTGAATGTGGACGCAGGCAGAGGTCAGCCGGGGCAAAGACAGAAAAACGTTGTCAAGATAATTGAGGATTTAATCCCAGCTGAAGTGGAGAAAAATGAGTCTAATCCAGATTAACACCTGTGGAAGAAGTTAGTCCGCTGACAGAAATCTGTCTCTGCTGTTGCACTTTATTAAAATAATGTCGTGACATATAAACAAGTTTTCATCCCTCACTGAAGTTTTCTTAACTGGTTCAACTTTCTGCAGTTTTTTCTTGGTCAAAAAACTTTCCAAATATCAAAACATGATGAAAGAAGCAACAGAAAAAACGCAACTTCAAAAGATTATGGCAGATTACCATTTCCACCTCAGTCTCTCCCGGAGGAGAGGCTGAGGTGGTTGATTTTTGAGAAAGTTGCAGACAAAAATGACTGATTGTGCAGCACCTTTTTCAAAAGGTTGGGGTCAAAGTTGCACATTTTTAATCTTTATTTTTACTGTCTTGCAAAAAAAAAAAAGTAAGTCCCATCACCTTCCGTTTCTGCTGCTCTGCATTGTGGATTTCTGCCAAAATACTCAGACATTTTCAGATTACTCAGAAATTTTCTTGGAAAAAATTGGGAAAAAGTAGAAAACTCTCAACTTTTGAATGCAGGAGCAGCAAAACTTACACACTTTATTTGTTGGTAAACTGAAAAGATTTTTTTCTTTTGTCTCTGAATATTGCAGGCAAAAGTTTCAAGAAACAGGAAGTTGCATCAGAAGGGAATTGGTCAAAATTCAGCCGAGTTGCAGTGATTGGTCAGAAAAAAAGGAAATACAAAAACTGCCAAATCAGATTTGCAATGATTGGTGAAAATTTCAGTTTTTTATTGTTTCAGGTAGAAAAGCAGGAAAGCATTTTTAATATTTTTCTTTGCAGCGACGTCTTTATGTTGGAGTCAGGTTCCTCAAAGGACCTGGGGCAGAGGACACCTCAAGTTTTGCTGTGAGGAGAGAAATAAAGAGAGGAAAACAAATGTTTACAGATGGTTTTTTATCCTCATAAATCCTCCTAGTTGTGTTTCCTGTACAGTCATGAATATTTGACAAAGCTTCTCTTTCAGATGCAGACATATGAAACCCTGCAGGTTCTTTAAACTCAGTACTAACTGGACCTGCTCTGCAGCTCCTCTCACTGTAAGCTCTGACATTCCTCACCCTCTCCATCTTCCATTTGAGCCATCTTGAATCCGGCTTGATGCAATACATTCCATCCCCGTTATCCACCCTGTACAGACAGAAACATCACACATTTGCAGTATTATCGCTGCTGTTTGATACCATTCATCCTTTATTATTAGCTGGATGCTTAAAAAGCAGGACAAAGTGACCAGTATTAATGCTGCTGGTGGGTCAGGACTGGAGACAAAGAAAAGTTAGTAAATGGTCTCATATCAGTCTAATTTTTATTATCTCTGCATTGAATTGACACAAATGAACCTTAACTCATTAAACAGATAAATGTTGCCCTTTCTGTGATTTAGCCTGTTGTAACAACGGCCTACTTAAAGCACTGAAGGTTGTTTTACCACCTGACAGTCCGGTTGACTGTCTGGTGAAAGGTTGCAACTTTAGAGTTGCAACATTTTCCGTTTGAATCAAACCAACCAAGCGCTTACAGGTAGAAATGTCCCGGACAGGTCGGTCTCGGTTTCTGTTCGAAACACTCCCGGATCGTCCTGGGACATAATTTGATCCTCCTTCACAGCAGGGGGGGATGACATGGACTTGTCTGTCTTCCACAGAGGAAGAGCCTGCAGGAAGAAACAACAGTTTTAACAATAACTGTATTTATGAAAGCTTAAAATATTTATCACACACAATGTCTCAAAAAGCTCTAAGAGCAGAAATAATGCAGAAACCTTCAGCCTGATATTTGGTAAAAATCTTCAGAATAAAAGTCAATTTTAATAATTTTTACATCTTAATCCACAGTGTGACGTCTGCATGTTCAGAGACATGAAAGATTTCCTGTCTGAGGTCTGAAAGTTTCTGCAGTATTTCTGTTTTAAGATCCCAGATCTTTGTTGTTTAAAGTTGCCTTGACTTGGTGGAGTATAAACACATTAAATCAAATTTATTTTAATGCACAATGTTCACCGTGTTGGTTTTATATTCATGAACTGAATCAAAACCGCAACACATTATGCAGTTAATATAATATATAGGCTGTTTAATGTCTTTAATCGTTCTTTTTACTAAAAATAAAAGTTTTTTTGACATCATATACTTATTATTTATAAACCAACAATCAATCGTCACTTGTTTGAAATCAAAAATGTTAAAATTTGACTCCAAGGATGAAAAGAACAAAAAATGTAGCCAAACTCTGAATTATTTGAAAAGTACGTTACCAGCAGATGCAGTGAGGAGGAACCAAACAGCCCAGATGGACAGAAACATTTTGTGCTGCAGCGCGGCGCCGTCCAGATGTTCGGTTTCTGCAGCGAAGCCGTTTGGACCTGCTGTGCAACGGTTTGCTACCTGCTGCTAAATGCAGCTCCTTCCACCTTTACAGCTCTTAAATAGATGAAATAAATAACAGGAAATGCTCCTTTAAGCAATGATGCTTCGCAGGAACATTCATGAGGTAAGTGTTGAGGAGAAACAGAAACAAAAATAACAAGCAAAAAAACAGGAAAACCACATCGTTAGGCCACAGTCTGAAGCTGCCTTTTCTTCTTGGTTAATTTTATATTTGCATTATAGAAACTCTGATCGTCAGAGGCCATCAGATAACCAGCTAAACTAATAACGAGACCACAGAAACCCTTCTTGACGGTTGGTGGTTGCCGTAGCTCCTTTTCCAGCTGCCATCTGTGGCTCCGATACACGTCAGAATCAGCTCTACGGGTTTTTATTTATCACAAGTATTAACAAGCTGCGTTTGCTTTGGCAGACTTTTAAAGTTTTAACCAAACCAGAAGTCGTGACTCTGCAAAGTTTAACAGCAATTTTAGTTTTTCAGTCGCTGGTGAAACTGATTTTACTGCTACATGTTCAGCTGCACCCAAACGGACCAGTCAAAGTTTTCATTTCAACAAATGTCAGACCAAAGAACTTTCATCAGATGCATCTGAATCACAGATCAGGTCAAAGCTCAAGTCAACCCTTGAAACAAATCCAATAAATGTATGTAGATGGACATTTTGGAGTGGCCTAGTCAAAGTTTGACAACAAAATAATAAAATGTTTAGTCTAAAATAAGAGATTGCATAAATGTTCACGCTCCTTCCAATCAGCCTGCACATCTGGATGCTGCAGTTTTCCTCCTTTCCAGTTCTGTCAGATTGGTCTGGATCAGCTGGCAACGGTTTGGGCTTTGACTAGGCCATTCCAGAATATCCATCTTCATACCGTTTCTGAGTAACTTTACCTGAAAAATAAATGCTTTCTGAAACTTTAGCTCTTTCAGAATAAACTAATTATCCTGCAGGATTTTCCTAAATTTTACTCAATAAGTTGTTTATTTTGTATCCATCTCCTGACTTGTACTTTCAATGACCTTTTTTCTGATTGGTCGGAGGGTTCTTTAGTCTTCATGCAGTAATGTGAACCAGGATCACTGATGAACCAGTGAATATTACAATCCCTCCAGTCTGATCTCCATTTCACTCACTGACAGACGACCAGAACCAACTGAACCTCTCTTGGATTCAGTTCGTAAATATTCAATCACTTATTTTATCTCGAATATTTTTATCAAACTGCTATCATTTTCTAGAAATCATTAAATGTTTTTTAGGTTTGTTTTTTGTAGAAAGTTGTGGATCATAAATGTAAAAGCAATAAAAAGGTGAAATGTTGAAGGGACTTTTTATTGCCAGTAAAGGACAGAGGAAATGTTTTTTTATATGTCCTGCCTTTATCTGAGCTTTCTGAGCAGATAAGTCGTTAGTTTGTTTTAGGTTGTCGTAACTTCCT